AGTGATCTCCCACTTTGCTCAGAGAATAAAGCAGACCTAACACACAAGATAAATTGTAGAACAAAATGCTTAATAGTAAGATTACGTAACACAATAGATTTAGTACGTTCTTTTTTTTCATTTATTTGTTTATTTATTAATTTTTACCATTTTTTTAAAAAATTTATTTTGTCGATATACAATGAGGTTGACTATTGTGGCCCATTACCAAAACCCCCCTCCCTCCTCCTTCGCCCCCCTCCCACCCAACAATGTCCTTTCTGTTTGCTTTTCATATCAACTTCAAGGAGTTGTAGTTGTTAAGTCTTCTCCCCCCTCCCCCGGTTTTTGTGTGTGTGTGTGAATTTATTTATTTATTTTTAGCTCCCACCAATAAGTGANATAGCCCCTCTCTTATACCTGAATTGAACAATTCACCCTACAAAAGTAAACTGAGGAAGCTCTATTTTCTGGAAAATTTGTTCACTACAGAAATTCAAGAAGAAATTGATGAGGTTAAAAAGAAAGAAAAAACGGCCATGCTTATGCAGTCTAGTCCTTTAGGTCCCAAATTAAAATGCAAAATCTTTTCAAAGAAGTTAGAAACTGCCCAACCACAGGAGAACAGCCTGGCAAAGCTTGAGAGGGTAGGGGAAAGGCTGCAGAGAGTGTACAGATTCCTCAAAAGAGCCTAGAGGCATAAAGAAAAGTCACTTCAAACGAGTGAGGGATCAAAGCTTCAAGAGGGATCAGAGGTGACCGAATTCTTGTCAAAAACATGTGGGAATGGCAACCTAACTTTAAGATACTGAGACATTCTAAATTGTTAATCACCTTAACAAAAATGGAAACCTGGTACCCTTCATGAGATCCAACTCAACCAGAATTGAACAGGAGCCCCTTATGTTGACGTGCCATCAGCCAGTGACACGGAGCTTACTGATTCATGGCTGCAGTCAGAAATGATGAGCCCCTCTGTCAGACACTTGTGACTCTATAAATATGTTCTTGTTACCAGAGCAATGTTGATACCCATAAAGACAGACACTGGGGGTAACCATCTACATCCCTAAAAACATGGAAGGCAACGTGGTCTGCGGCCCCACCCTGAGTGACTGGTAGAGACTGGTAGAGACTGCATGTGATGCTGCAGCCCCACTGATGAGAACTCATCTCAACACAACCATCCAGCAGCACCTGACAAGTGGCAAGCCTACCGTGGCCTTAACTCTGCTTGGATACTGGTTTCCTAGATTTAAGGGTAGCTTGTCTGGTTTTGTATGCTTATATGAAAAGCTTGGTTCCCTCTTATACTTGTGAGGCAGTGTCTAAGTAAACATTTTTAGGGCCTCTGGACATGAGGAAATGCTTGAGCTACTGAAATTGTAACCATGTGAAATGTCTTCCTGTGGTTTTGGATCTCTGATCCTATTCTGCTTTACTTAATCACAAGGGTTTCATCATTTTAGGATATTAAATGAAAAAGTCATTCTTCTAGTTGTAGTATATGTAGTAACGTGGGATAATCTCTCCTGGTAGTGACATCATGATAATAATGCTTGATATTTATGTCTCATTTTATACTATATTAGTGAACTAGCTTTATGTGTCCTGATTATGAAAGTAATACAGACATTTTGTATTTTTTTCAAGGAACTTTAAAGTCTTTATTTCATCAGATCCTTACAATAAATAACACCATGAAATCCAAAAGTTAACATGACTTACCCAGCACCTCTCTGGGTAGTGGTTACCTAGAGTCCAGTTTTAGTCAGTGGTTAGCTGGACTAGAATCTAGTTTCTTTAGTGCCTACTCTAATTCTTTCTCCACTATACAATACTGCTATAGCTACAAAAATCTGAGTTGATAATTTCAGGTTATCAACTATAAACCTAAATTTAATGGAGGGTTAGTAGATTTTGTTCTCAGTGTTGGTTCAGGAAAAGCTAGCCTTATGGAAAAATTCCACAGTTCCCACAAGTTATATGACTCGTTTCACTCAATATTATTCTCTCAAGGTCCATCCATGTTGTTGCAAATGGCAGTATTTCATTCGTTTTTATAGCTGAGTAGTATTCCATTGTGTAGATATACCACATTTTCCGTATCCATTCATCTGATGATGGACAGTTGGGTTGGTTCCAACTCTTGGCTATTGTAAAGAGTGCTGCGATGAACTTTGGGGAACACGTATATCTTCGACTTGATGATTTCCATTCCTCTGGGTATATTCCCAGCAGTGGGATAGCTGGGTCATATGGCAGATCTATCTGCAATTGTTTGAGGAACCTCCATACCATTTTCCATAGAGGCTGCACCATTTTGCAGTCCCACCACCAATGTATGAGAGTTCCTTTTTCTCCGCAGCCTCGCCAGCGTTTATCATTCAGAGTCTTTTGAATTTTAGCCATCCTAACTGGGGAGAGATGGTATCTCAGTGTAGTTTTGATTTGCATTTCACAAATGCTGAGTGATATTGAGCATTTTTTCATATGTCTGTTGGCCATTTGTATATCTTCCTTAGAGAAATGCCTGCTTAGCTCTTTTGCCCATTTTTGAATTGGGTTGCTTGTTTTTTTCTTGTAAAGTTGTTTGAGTTCCTTGTATATTCTGGATATTAATCCTTTGTCAGATGTATATTTTGCAAATATTTTCTCCCACACTGTTGGTTGTCTGTTAACTCTGTTAATTGTTTCTTTTGCTCTGCAGAAGCTCTTTAGTTGGATTTAAACCCATTTGTTTATTTTTCCTTTGGTTGCCTGTGCTTTTGGGGTCTTATTCATGAAGTCTTTGTCCAGACCTATTT